GCACTCCGGTGCGGGGAGCCCCGGCGGGAGGAGGCAGACACCGGATCCGCCCCGGTGGGAACTCGGCTGTCAAAGCCCCACGTCGCCTTTGCACCTGCTCCCGCCCGACGCCCTCGCGCCACGTTTGCCACCCACGAGGGAGCTCCGCGGACGGGCGCCAGGTCCCGGCACGTCAGTCCCGCGGGCTGCGCAGCGCGCGGAGAGCGGTCGCCGCCCCAGCTCAGCCCCGCAGTTGACGCAGTCTCCACAGCGCGGCGCTGGAGCCGAGGCAGGAGAGGCTTCGAGGCGAACCCGTGTTGCAGGTGGCAGCGCAGCGGCGCCCCGCAAGGAGCCTGGGCCCGGGTCTTCTGGCGGTTACAGATCCCTGAGGACCGGCCCGCGAGCTGAAAGGCGCCCGGCTCCCTGCTGCGCCGGGCACTGCCCAGAGGCGCAGCCCTGGCCAGTCCCGTTGTGCAAACACCAGTGCAGCAGCGGGTCACCGCCGAAACGTCCGAGCCTGGGAAACGTGGCTTCTGGCCCGCGTGGCGTGAGGAGGGGGCAGGGTGCGGGGGTGCCTGCACCCGCATCTGCGTTCCCAGGCGCCAGGCCCAGACACACAGGGCCCAGGCGCGGGTCTGCGGGGTGCTGCAGCCCAGGGGGGCCCGCCCAGCCTCGCTCCTTCCCCTCGCTGCAGCTCCGTGTGTGCGCACACACGTACACACACATATATAACATATGTATATATAGATCAGACACTTTCCAACAGCAGTGGCAGCCTCTTTCCACCCGTAATTCAGAAAACAGAAGTGCGATTCCGTGAACGCGGCTATTTTCTGCTCAGCCGCGTTGCGGTCGCGGCTGCCAAGAAGCGGTTGGGGCGGCCGCGCTCTGAGCTGAGTAGCTCGCCTCTTTCCGAAGTTTGATTTTCCGGAACGAGGCCTAAAAAGGCGGGGGGGGGGCGGGGCGCCGCGCCGGATCCGCGCCTTATTCGGGCAGGGCCCACGACCGGAACACGCCGGCACCTCCCACGGGCTTTTCCGAGTTCCGTTCACTGCGCTTGTTACCCCCTGGATAAAAGCGATGCGGCCGCCGCCGCCCAGCCCAGCCCAGCCCAGGTCGGCCCCGCACCGCCTGCAGAGGGGCCCCGCGCGCCTCCCAGTGATTCCGCCCGGCCCCGTTCCTCAGTCCTTATATGGGCAGTGACGTCCCGGGCATTCAGGGCCGCCCCATAAATACTTCCCGCCACGCTTCCCGTGGGCTGCAATTGATTACGAGCGCAACGCGGGCCCCCGGCTGTGCCCACAACACCACAGTGCGTCCCAGGGCCGCACAGGGCAGTGCCCGCGGCGGCGGCACCGGCCGCTCCGAAACATAAGCCGATTTGGGTTTTTTTTTTTTTTTTTTCCAGTGGAGGGAAAAGGCAGCCCTCACCCCGGCAGCGTTGGTACCACAGGCAGGGAGAGCTGCTCTGCGCGCGCCTCCTGAGCAAATGATGACGGCCAAGACTGTAGACAAAATCCCTGTAACTCTCAGTGGGTTTGTGCATCAGCTCTCCGAAAACATTTACCCTGTGGATGACCTGGCCGCCACCCTGCCAGCCTCGGTCACGATCTTCCCCAATGCGGACTTGGGAGGACCGTTCGAGCAGATGAGCGGGGCGCCGGGAGGTAAGCACCAGCCCCCTTCCCGTTCCGCATGTGCCGCCTCGGGCTTGTCGCGCGGGGCTCGGGAGCTGCTTTAGGCGAAACGGACAGAAAACTAGGCGAGAACTAGACGAGAAGTCGCTGGCTCGGGGCGGCGCGGGCCCCCGAGAAATCTCGGGGGCAGAAGGCAGCCACCGGCTCTGCCGTGTCTGGGTGGCTCGCGGGCGCCCCGAGGCCCCTCTGCCCGGGAACGCTGTAAGGAACCAAGCAGTTGCTCAGATCAAGCGCGGAGCCCCGAGGCCGGGGCGGCATGTGGCGCCGGGCCCCGCAGGGCTCAGCCCCGGCCCCTCGGGGGCTCCGGTCGAGCGGAGGGTGGCGGGCGCTGACGGACTTTTCTGTCTCCCTCAGATGGCATGATCAACGTGGACATGAGCGAGAAGCGGGCTCTGGACCTGCCCTACGCCGGCAGCTTCGCCCCGACGGTCTCTGCCTCCCGCAATCAAACTTTCACTTACATGGGCAAGTTCTCCATCGACCCACAGTACCCCGGCGCCGGCTGCTACCCCGAGGGCATCATCAACATCGTGAGCGCCGGCATCCTGCAGGGGGTCAGCGCGCCCTCGTCCTCCTCGTCCTCCGCCGCCTCCTCGGCCTCGCCCAACCCGCTGCCGCCCGGCGGCGCCCTCGGCTGCCCCATGGCGCAGGGGCAGCCTGCTGACCTGGAGCACCTCTACTCGCCGCCTCCGCCGCCCTATTCGGCCTGCGGGGAGCTGTACCAGCAGGACCCGTCCGCCTTCCTACCCGCCTCGTCCGCGGCTGCGCTGCCCTTCCCGCCGCCGCCGTCCTACCCGTCCCCGAAGGCGGCGGCGGCGGACGCGGGTCTCTTCACGGTGCTGCCGGACTACGCGGGCTTCTTCCCGCCCGCGCAGTGCCAGCGCGAACTGCACGCGGCGCCCGAACGCAAGCCCTTCCCCTGCCCGCTCGACTCCCTCCGGGTCCCGCCGCCGCTCACGCCACTCTCCACCATC